TCAAAATTAGAGAATTGAAGATATGATCATGAAATGAACAAATCTGAGAGAGGTCTACCCATGGTACATATACACCAAGTATCAAAGCATTCAGGCTTGTAGTTTTCAAGAAGAAGTCGAATAAGTAAAACATTGACACGGACGCCGGACAATCACTCATATGATAAGCTCCGCTCAACAAAGTCGACAGCGGAGCTAATAAACGAGTCAAAGAAATGAAATAGAACTACCACTTACATCTCTCCCTCTGCTCAATCTTGAGTGTAAGGTACAGAGTTCTGATTGGAAAGTAGACGGCCTGCGGGAAGACTTTACCAACCTGACCCAGTAGGTTAAGAATGAGTTTACCTTCATTGCGAATCAAACACGTCAACAGTTGGGGAATCCTGTAAATTATAAAAGTCAATCTTTTGATAATTTACACAAAACAATGGTTTAATTATTGATTACTGGTCCTTGAAAATTAATAGATGTGCAGGGGTCTCTATAACCACATCTTGGTCAATAGAGGGTATTCACGACCAACCGACCAAGTGTATCAGTGCGTATAAATCCTCTCCTCTGATGTATATTACTACTCACCATGGTAACCACTGAATGGCTGGTATCCCGACACAGTATTTATCCACAGCCTCCGCTAGACTTGACGTTTCATCGTCGTAAGTCAATAACCATAGCACCTTAGCTAAATATTTCCTTGACTTGCTTTCATTCTGGTGTCGGCAAGCATGTAGGTAGCACGTGATTGCGTACACACCATGGTTAATTTGCCTATATGATGAAATGAGAATTATGGTAAACACATAATAAAATCAATTTATTCCAAACTCTTTGGTCAATGCTTCTTTTCCTGGCACAGATTTCAATTTTATCTTTCTAAGCATATACACTGCTGTAGAAAGTATTACTGCTGTTAACTGCATTTGAGAATCATGACATTTTGTAGCAGTAATAATATCTGTGGGATCCTACAACATGGAGTGTTGGCGACTTTTGTCTTAACAAATGTCATGAAATCATCAAATCATGAAAAATCCTAGCAATGCAAATGATGTGGTTTACAGTATTTAGACTGCACATTACATGTTTTCAAAATTTAGAAACACAGATATACTTTATATCTTTACTAGTGTATGTTTACTCTTTGAAATATTACGTGAAAATTAAAAACATATACATAAAGAGTTCTATACTTGCCTTTCTCTGGTAAATATACCTTCTAAATATTCTCCCCACAACGCCCATGCTTTCACTAATGTATCATGCATTTGAACGGCAGCAGAGAAAGCTTTGTTTGCTTCATCAGATCTGTTTATAAGAAAAAATAGTTCCGGTAAACTGAGTTATTGCATTTGCTCATATGCTTACATAAATGACTGAGGTGTTTCTACAGGATTTCAATTCTTCAATTTTCGTTGATTTTTTTCTAGCAAGACCACTGTGTTCTACTCAATGAAAATACACACATAACCAGTTTAACAATACTATGTGTTATTTTGACCATTCTCAAGTAATGGTAAAACTGAATGTCTTCATAGGATCTATTGCAAAGTTGAGTGCCAAAGTCATTAATAAGTGCGAGTTCTTTCCACCTCATTCTCTGTAAACTGCCTGACATAAAATCAACTTTCCTTGAAGCAAGACTTCCAACTCACCTTCCAATCTGTGCCAGAAACATTCCTTTTAGCGCATAAAACTCGGCTGTCATTTCTTTTGTGAAATATTTGAGATTTGTCGACTCAATCACTTCAAGTCCTTCCTGTAATTCATTTTTCCCCATAGTGCCCGCCATCTGTAAATAACACTTGACTTGTTGTCTTATCTTCTGAAAACAATCTACGATTGGAACGCTGGGAATGGTATGGATTCTAGAAAAGAAATCACAGCAAATATTAGTTCATATCAACTACTGACACAAATTGCACCATGACATTTGTTAATGGCCATGCCTCAAACTAAGGATTTTGATAATTATGAAATAATTTATTAGATTTTTGCAAGACATCATATTTTTCATACTTACATAGTTTTTGATTTTATGGTTTTTTACTAGTACCCTTTTGAATGCCACAATCTTTCAGTCAAAATTTAGGTACAACGTTTTGCACATTTTATGTAAATTATTCTATATATTTTTTGATAAATTTAGACCAAATGCACATAATTTCCTATTGAATTCAGATCTTGAACAAAATTTTAGGAAACAAAAATTATATAGATTTTATTTTGTGATATCAGAAGAAGTTTGAACAATAGGTTTACAGTGAATAATAATAGAGAGTGGATTTCAGTTTGGTCTTGGAAACATGCAAGACGACTGAAAACCACTGTTCAATATGAACAGGTTTAATATGGAACACAAATACAGATAAAAACTGACAGCAAACAAGACTTTCATTACCTGCTAAGCCAGTCTAGACAAGCACCAGTTAACCCTTGTTTTCTAGCAATCTTAGCATAGTATATTATTGACTGCGCCGAGGCATGGACCCCTAACATAGCATGACTTGAAGATTGCTGTCAAAAAAAGGAAAAACATGCAATCAGGAACTAGATGACATATTTATGAACAAACTTTGCATACATATAGAAAGCATTCCAGTGTGTGAGAAGTCTAAGTGCAAGAAAATGGTCATTGCCTTCACAAAGACAAATAATCATAGACATTTTATGCTTTACTTTGAAAGAGAAAGTCTTTATAGCTACCTTGACCCCCTACTAGACCCAAGACACAATGGCATGTATTACTATCATGATTGCATGTATGTAACCTAACCACACATGCATAAAGCCCTCTTGTGGCATACCCATGATTAAAACTAGTATTTGTTTGCTGAAACACTATAAAATTTTAACAAATAAAGGTAATACGTTTTTTGCATTGATGATTTGGTCACTGAGCATTTCAAACATAGACTACTACCGGGGGAACATAGAAAAATAACTCTCACAAGCTAGTCTCCATCAATGAGCATTTATTTAAAAACACAAATAACATTACTTACTGGGTCGTGCTGTGCATGGCTTTCATAGGATTGTACGATAGCTTGGTAATGGTGCTGTCGCCACATGAATATGTCACTCCAATGAGACAGATCATCAGAAACCATCGGAAGACGATTCCTGGAATACCAGAGATAATTTATTAGACCACATAAATGTGTGAAAGTTGAATCTTTTGAAAGTTTTAGTCAACTTTAGTCAATTGTCAAAATTGTTATCAAGACTTAGGTCAAAATTATTCGGAAAGAAATTTTTTAAAAATACTGAAAAAAGTTTTGCACCAACAATCATAGCATAGTTTAACCATATGTTGCTGTTTCCAACTAAATTTTTAGTTTTTGAAATAAATGTTGATTTTCAAATTTGTAATAACAGCCTAGGATTGTCAATAGTTTGCAATGAACACATCTGCACTGACCTCCATGTTTTGACGATAGCTTTCATGTCATGTATGCTTGAATTTCTACCAATGTTAGCTTGTTGTAAACCCTGGTGAATCTGAGCCGCTTCTTGTAATTCTATTATTCTCTGTGCGGCCTGATGAATGAAATTGACATATATGGTATTAGATTTCGGTCATGTCAGTTAACAAGTTTTGCATAAAATTAAAGAAAATGATTTAACGGATAATACTACTTGTGAGGGAGGATGCATAACAAATATAAAAGCCAACCATTATAATGTATCATACATCAGCACAACAATACAAAGCAAAGATTACACATCAACTTCTATGCTCCACCCCCCCACCATATCAAATGGCGTATGCCAATTAACAGTGTAATACAGCACAAAACAGATATTCCATTTTGGAAAAAGGGAGTGATTGCCTACTTGTAAGAGTGGTGTATGTATATGTGATACAACATTTGGCAGTCTTCTCCATTCTTTGATGGCCTGTTTACTCGACATCTCTACTAAACGTTCGATCTGAAAATTGATGAAACAAATGTAAACAAAAGTCAAATGATATAAAATTACACTAAACATTTGTTATATATCAAGCAAATCAAATTCAAATTGTTTTTTATTTGTGAAGTCAAAACATACACACTAGAGAAGAGCTTAATAAGATAGTTACGTCATGATCCCAACGATAGTATAAGCACTTTAACTAAACTTGGCAATGGTTGTAACTATATTTTATCAAATCATCACCTGCACCCCAAAAAAAACAATTGTAAAAACATTAAATGTTTCATGATATTCCTGGTGAATTGATGGTTAATTTTAAAATACAATAATTGAACAATAGTTTTATCAGTGAAAACAAAAACCTTAAATTAAAGTATACTGCGGATAGTGCTCACCAGATTCAGATGGTGTTCATCAGGATGGCAGATTGCGAGGTAACCACGATATAAATTAACTCTCCACGCCATTTCTCTCGGGCAGCTTAGCTCAACCTTCAGAAGATAAAAGTGAACCACAATTAGACAGAGAAAACTTGTTTTTATCTTTCCCAGCATTTCAATTTAGCGACAAGACCACTAAAGGTAAGTTTGGTGGGCTGGCTGAACAGTGAATTTAATCAGCATTTGTCATATTGGGAGCTCATGGGAGTGAAACCCATATCCACATGATAATACTAATGGTCGTATAAACGCATCGATTTAAACATCATCAAGTCACATCCACAATAATTAACACATGGGTCATTTTCATTAACGTTAGTAAATAATAATAGAAATCTGATCTGTGACCTGCATGCACAATAAGCTCACTTCGATATCAGTTAGTATAAAGGTAGACACAACACCACCACCAAGTGATCTAGATATAAAAGAAAAACAGATTACCAGAGTTACCTGTGCCACGGCCTCCTTCATCACTCCCCAGTTAGGAACCCTCCATGCACTCTCCAGCACCAGATGTGGATTAGTGTGGCCTTTAGCATTACCAAAATCCATCAATAAATCCCATTGGCTTAGCTCCTCCGAACATCTGATCCAGTGCTCTTCCCATAGTCTGTATTCTGGGAAAACTGATGGAGATGCCGTACCGGAGTTGTGTTCTGTCCTGGCTTTACTCATTGCCTGTCAATGAAAATAATAAAATACAATGATGTAACTAATGGCACTTTGTTAATTTCAGTTATACCCTCACGTGTGATGCTTTAAGTATTAATTTTGTTAGCCGACAGAATCTTTCAGTATACTTTGTCCACACTCTACTGGAAGAGAATTCTTTCTTTATTCAAAACAGTTCGAGTTTACTAAAAGAGGAGTGTTTCTAAGTTGAAAACTGCTCACATTTATTGGTATAAAGCAAAATGGTTTTTTTAAAATGAGGTTGTTCTCACATGAACTGAATGAAGAGTAAAACTTGTTCCTCACTATTTAAATTTGGGATTCAAATAAAAAATTCCAGATTGACAAGCTGTGTGGATGCATTGAATGAGGTAAACATGTGAATTGTAGTTGAATGCAACATGTAGTTTACTATGATACGTACATAATCAGGTGCGATATGTACAAGGCATCAACATTTCAATACAAGGAGAAATCAACCAGTTCTGAGGTTGACATGTCAGAAACAGTATTCTTGATATTCATTTGAAATACATGTACAATTGTTTGTTTATCGATGTGTATTTTAAAATGACATGCCTCTGTTTATAGTTTAGTCATTCAATGAATTAGCAATTTACGAGGTATCATTTGCCTAAAAGCAAGTAGAATTTGGGTTTCAATTTCAAAATACATTGTTACACCTCAGTACTATGTACTTCTACAATCTGTTGACCCTAGGTTCTCAGCCATATACTACAGGTAGAGAATTTCTATGATTCATGTTGCACTTCCCTTACTGAGTGAAAACCTTTTTGGTCTGGAAATTGTCCTGACCCATTGTTGTAGCAAATGTACATGTACAATATGACAACACATAAACTGCGATAAGGAAAACCCTCTAAAAGTCATTAAAAGTTGTGGTATAACTAACTCCTCATACGTTAATGAATATAAATGGCCACTTTTGGAGCCTTGGTCAGGTAAAAGTTTTCAGTGCTGCATACCTCTAAACTTGTCCCCAAACGAGGTTAATTCCTGTTAACATTCTCATAGTGGTGAGATAATTGCCAATAACCAACAATTTTATTAACTCACCAAGGTCTAAAGCAGTTTCACACTAAAAAGACTGTGCGATGCCAGTACATTGTGTACTGCGTATACATACCATTTCATAAGCGTTCTGAGCTTGTTCAAAGAATCCTTGTTGTTCGTAAGCTATAGCTGTTGCTGTCTCAGGGAATTTACATCTCTTTTGCCACAAGCCGGCCCACATGTCTTCCTCTTGTAGTAATTCATAGAGCTCAGACAATGAGTCTAATGTTTCCTACAGATCAAACATACAAACATAAACATTAGTATCTACGAGAACTACTAGAACTACAATCACATTTTTTTCCATTATAATATTGTTCACAAATGAGAACTGTGCACATAGCTTTGCCATGTTTTACATGCTATTTAGCATAAATTATTAAATTTTCACAATTATAAATTTTTGTGGTTGAGGACAACATTTTACAGAAACACTATCATAAAAACTGAATTGTTTTTTCTTTTAAAATTCTAAAAAAAAACTATATAAATAATGCTGACGTGCCTACAGTGCCAAGAAAAATGAATTGGCCTTATAAAATCACTACTTGGTTCAATATCAAATCAACAATACTAAACTATGGACCCCAAAAGACTATGATGAAACCTGGGAATCCCATGTGTTGAATGTAAATAGTGTTGATGTTATATAAGTTAATCAGCTGTTATTATCTCACCTGTTGTGGAGGTACAATGGAATCTTGTTCATAGTAATCACTGGCAGCACGTGGTCTCAAGGCAGCATGGAAGCCACTATCAATGGCATTCTGTTCTAACATTAACGTACATCTATGCCATAGATTATGCGTCTTACCGAGGTACTGAAATAGAGAATGAAATGTTCACACATACTGAAGCATTGATTTTTAGACAACTCAACAACTAAACAACTCAAAATGTAAAGACGCGAGTCATACCTTGAGAACGCATGGTCTTATCGGGATTGCCGGAACGCACAGTGATATCGCCTCCACAAACGTATTGATAGAACTAGGCTGGCACTCAATTTGATGTTGGTGACTACCACTGCATAGAAACGGTACAATCTCACTGGCTAAACCCTGCAAACAATAGTTACATATATTTCAATTTGAAAAGACAATAGCAGATAATGTGATTACCGAATTTACGATAAGCACACTTCTAATAGAAGTGCACATCAACAAAAATTGCATTTTGTGTATGCAGAACCATTAAATTAAGACCTATGTTTACAGAAAACATCCATCTCTCATTTAAATAAGCAAATGCATTACTGGTATAACAAATATGGTATATTCAAAAAATTGTATAACGTTATCAGTATCTATCAATGATGATGGTTAAGTACCAGTACCAGAGTTACCGGGAGCCGGATAAGTATTTTATGAATGAGAGTGACTTACAGTTTGTTGTCTATCTGTCAGTATTTTCCAGAGTCTTGGAAAGAGATCGATCCACAACTGATGGGCTAACTCTGTATTGTTATGACATAACTGAGATACAGCTTTCAGAAAAGTAATAGTCTGAAAAGTAAAATAAACATAATAATTAGAAGAACTGCCTCATTTAATAATTAACGTTAAGACTTTCGGAATAATTCAGCAATTGACCACTGCACTGGTGGGGCTATAATTTTGCACCATTGAAAAGCAATGCAATGTAGTTTCATAGGACACAATCTAGGTCTGCTACCAAAAAAAAATTGAGTTGAGAAATCAACACTGTAGTATCAGGGCCCAGCAAATACTCCAAAATAAGATAAACCGTAACATAACAAGCCATGCATGGCACAGTCACCATTAGTTATCGAATTTAAGATATATAGTTTTGTTTCAGGAATATGATTATGATAATTGTTTAACATTAAAATGATTGACATTTGTATCTGATCGTCAAATGAGTATTGAGAGATATTGCTCTGGAACAGCATTAATTAAAACAAAATTAGCCATTTTGAATAATGTATATATCTAAAACATGATGTATAACGAATATATAAAATTTGAACATAATCATTCAAAGCATGTCAGAGATATGGCACTAGAACCACATTCATTAAAACAAAATGGCCACCAGTCGGCCATTTTTAATCTTATTTGAAAAACAAAATGATGTGCATCAAGGTCCTATAATGACTAATGTATATACTAATTTCGAACAAAATCCATCTGTAAACAGCTGAAAAATGCTTGATTTTGATAATTTTTAGCACAAAAACTGGCCGCCATTCGGCCATCTTGAATCAGATCGTGAAATAAATTGACATGCATGTGTATAATATCATGTATAATGTATGTGCGAAGTTTGATTGTGATTGGTCCAGGCATTTCTAAGATACATGTCCGGACGCACGCACAGACGCACGGACACACAGAGGTCAAAACATAAGTCCCCGCTTTCGGACTGCGTCCGAACGGAGACTAAAAAGTATGAGAGAATGCACTGTGAATGAATCAAGACATTGTTTACAAAACATGACCATAAACGCTCTCAATGAATTGTACATGTAGCACCCATTGTCACTTTAATTATTTTACCGAAATCATTATTTCTTTTGTTTTTGTCTTGAATATATACCGGGTATTGGGTGTTTACCCAATGGTATAATGATATAAATCCATCACATGTCTTAGAATGCGTCCTTGAAAACAAAAATATGTTCGTTGTTGTTTGCTGGCTCAGAATTGGGAGCAGAATGCATTTTCTAAGGGGTGCACAAAGCTTATTTTGGGAAATGCGCTGGCGGCGTAAAGAAAGTGACTGATAATTTGTTTTTCCTCACAAAATTAACCTCTCACAGTTTACAGTATCAAGTATTCATCTTTGATTCTAAGACTCCCTAGTTGGAGAATAATGCTCCATATATACTCTTGAACTCCCTAGTATAGTACATATAATAAGACAGGGTTTAACAAGCCATCTAGATGTACATTGATGCAACTTGTTTCCTATACGGGTGACACATCAACAAGTGGCAATTCTTACCTTGATTTCTCGCACACTTTCGATAAATTTACCATGTCTAGCAGTCATTATTTGTAAATGCTGTTTAGGATCCAGAGGTTGTGATTTAGAATGTTGTGAATGTGCTGCTGAATTGGCATCTCCCATGCCGGTATCAGAATGAGATAATTCTATGTCTATCTCAACTTCCTGTGATAATAATAAATTGAAGTAAATATTAATACTGAGAAGTTAAAGGTAGTGACTAAAGTAATCAATTCATATTTTAAATTGACCAAGGTTATGTCAGAGATAATATTGAAAACATAATGGCAGTCTGTAGTCTATTTGACATCTTCTGACACAACTTATATCAGATATGTTGCTATCTCTAGTTGCTTTTGCAATGTATGCTACAGAATTTATTTAATGTTTACAACGAAAGATTTTTTCCAGTAGAGCAACACATCCAAGATTGTTTACCTCGTCTTTGGAATTATCCACCGTTTCCACGTCCATCGGTTCTTCTTTTATTCGGCTGATGAATGTAAATGCTTCTCTGTCGTGGCTCTCCGCTAAGTTGATAACCGACATGACGGGCGGCAGGAGGTGAGACGTAGCGGAACTGGTTATAGATATACCACTTACGCCAACTGCCATTATTAGCTGTCAAACGATCATAGCAAAAGTTAACAGTGCGTACTGCAGAAATGAGAGTGCATCTTTTCTATCATGATGTAGGTGAGTTTTTGGTTCTCGAGTTGCACATGACAAGTATCAACATTCTCACAAGCAAAGTACTATAGAGCAGTATTAAATTTTAGGGTTTGTGTTTCAGTTTATTATTGAATAACATTTTTTTTATTATACACATCCAGGATGTCTTGAAAAGTTTACAAAATGTTTGTAAAATACATCACTGATAAAGTGGAACAAAATTCATTTATCTATTTACAATAACTTGAAATATGTAGATTACAAGACATGTGACAGGCTAACAGCCAAGAACATCCATTAAACAAACTGGTCCACAAAAACTATGAAATTAACCTCTGTTTTTCCAATTGCTGAATCAATACTACTGTTCTCTCATGTAACAATGCAACCAGAGAACTTGGAAGTCAGATCTATACAGGTTAATACTTAAATTATCTGAGATTGACAAGATGTGAACTATGTACTGCGATAAATACAACCCAGCAACACCTCACTGTTAACAATGATGCATTACATCAGAACTGAATCCCTCAGCTACATTGCTATATAATATTATATTTGGAGACGGGTTGTATGTTTCAATCACTTTCTCATCAATACACTGCAGCACAGAATTTATTACTGTATTAACACATACCATAACAGATACTCAACTCACCTCTATACATTGCTTCACCCAGAAATGTGTACTCATCGCCTCCCAGTTCTGTGAACATGTGATGTACAGCAGCCGATCGTAAATGCGTCGTCGCATACTGTTATCAAACACCTATTTGCAGAGAAACAGATTGATATTAAAGTCAGAGTAAGTATACTTGATTTGAGAGCACAATAGACTATGTGCAATTTTAAATCAGTCCACAAGCATACTTAACATGAGATCTCAACATATTATGTCATTGTGTAATACAATATCTGTGCTGGCATATCAAAACAAATGAAATCGGGCAATAGGGTGGACGGAATGGACATTTTGGTGTGTCCAGGTGGGGGCTATACACTGTCATATCATACAAGATTAAATAAAATTATGCAACTTACTTCAAAAAATTTTTCTCTGATGTGTGGCTGAGTACATCGTAGTCCTGCTAGAAATGCTGGTTCTAATTTGGCTGTCAATTCAGTACCAGTCAAACTGTCATCCCTAGATGCAGTAGTAAGGGTTAATTAGACGATGTTAAAAATAAAACACAGAAATGAGAATTTAAAGGTCTCCAGATTAAATGTGAAAAAAATATACTTTCAGACAATAGAATATGTATCTTTATTGATTGCCATTGTTCCACTAAAAATATGTAAACCCAACAAAAAACACATTTAGATCACACAAATACAGCAAGCTTTGAAAACATAATTAGTACCACACAGCATCATATAGAAAACATAATACACAAATTGAGACGCAACTCCAATTGCATCATGGTCTATTACTATCATCCATGCATTATCCCCACCACAGGATACTAGCTACATTTCGTAATGCACAACACAAAATGACGAACCCAATAATCTGAAGACATGATGACATGATCACGATCAAATCGAACATTGACATTTATTTTCTGGGTCGTTTCATTTCACTTTGACTTACCTATACACGTAATTGACTAAATCTAAGAACTGTGCGTTCAGTTCAAGATCATCTGGAAATCTCTTTTCAACAAAGTGCATCATTTTAACAAGTAATATGGATTTCTCACGCTGTGAAGGTGACTGGTTGATAGCGATAGGTGTCTGAAATTGAAGCAATATTCAGAAATTATTTCTCACACAAATCATAGTGATAGGGGGTCACAAAGATCATGAAAAATTAAATTTTGTAGCAGTGAAAATTTCTCTGTTTTCCTATGACAGTGCCAGTGACTTTTGCAAAATTTTGTTTTGTATGAATGATACAGAATCTTCAAATCAGGAATTTTTTTTAGTAGTTAGTGTTTTTGACAAATGCCTGATAATCTGTCTCATTTCAAACCTTCTTATGGTTATCGACAGACCTTTTTAGAGTTCTGTAATGCATTCAGTTAGAAGAAGTGTCATTGCCATGCATATGGATGCAAGTTTGTATCGTGTGATTTCAACAGTAGTTTTATATCGTGTAATACCACGTACCTTCACTTTAATCCAGTCATCCACCATCTTGGTGATAGCTTTCAATACTTTAGACTCAGGGGATTTCTCTATTAACGTCATAATCAATTGGATGAAATTACGTCTCATTTCGCTGCTCATGACGCCCACTCGATTCTTAACCAGATCCAAACTTACGATCAATAGTTCGCTGGCAACTATATGAAGACAGAAAAAAAAAGCAACAAGAATCAATAATTATAAAAGATCATAGAAATGTTCACAGACAAAAAGTCAGAATTCCATGATTTGGATAATTAAAGTCAAAATTCTATTTTTCAACACAATAAACAACTTAGTGAGTAATCAATGAAAAACCATTTATGCGCTATTTTAGAAGTCCATGCACTAAAGATCAAGTATGAAACAAGTGTAAAAGTCATTGTTTCTGCACACAACATTTGAATGTTACCATGACAGTCGGCTTAATCAGTGAATGCTGTGGCAAAATATAAAATTGTTTTAGTTGGTATAACTTCTAAAGACTGTTGAATCAACTTTTATTGCAGATGTCTTTCTGACAGAGCAAATATGGCACAAGATATCAA